GCGGTTGGGACTATTTTATTATCGAGTAAGCGGACGGTAGAATACATAGGCTACTTTTTATCCCGGGAATAGTTACGGTTCCCGTGGGATTCATTAATTTAGTTATTTTAATGTTTACTAGATCATTCTGCAACGGTTCAACATATCTTATTGAAATTTGGCACAGACATAAAACAAAGTCTGGAGTACACATTGGATAAGCTTCATCCCCGAGAAATGTCCGGTTCCCGAGGGGTACATAGCTTTTTGTAATTTATATAGTTAATATGTTCTCTAATACCACGCGGACGAAGTTGCGGGCAACACCTCGTAAAAAATGAAAGAAAACCTTTCAATGTTATATAGATAAAGCAGTATGGAAACAAATAAAATAGGTACTTAGATCATAAATTGTCGTATTGCCTTCAAAAAGAGAGTGAACAGCTATCTATTGAGCTAGCGCGTACTATCGACTGCATTGTCACTTCACAGGAACGGCGGTCGTGCTAGCTTAACAAATATTAAAAAAAATAACCTTCAACATGATAAGGTCCCGTCCACTTGAAGCACTAGACCCTGATATTAATGCTCGGATTCTTTGAGCGTCATTCGTCATATGGAACTCAATATCACGGATGTCCAAAACGTTGTCATCTTCCGTCTTATCATCTACAATCTCCCAACTATCTACTTTAAGACGTTTCTTACGTTTAGATTCCTCTGCGGCTTTATGTTTATATTGTCTGGAATTATATTTTTACATTTTTTTATTTGACACTTAGGGCCTGTCCTACCAAATAATAAATAGTCTTAATAATCCAACGTGTAAAATATGTGATGGTTATCGGATTTTGTTACATTATCTGACAGTGACATTTTTAAGCTATCTGAGCCTCTATCAGCCATTGGTGGGACAGGCCCTTATAAAGCATAAATTATCTGTGACTTAGGTTATATCTGTTAAATAAATTTAAGTATAAATACAGCTAGTTTACTTTCTAATTGTGTCTTTTGAAATTTTCGGATTATAAAAACTCGTGCACACCTTTGACCAAACTATCGCACAACCGTTTAGTCTCTCTTTGATTGCTACGAGCATATGAAGCACTACTCGATATTGTGCAACTAAACAGTTGAATTGGCTGAGAAATAATTGACAATCGCACAACAAATGTCATTGTTATGTCAAAGATGTGCTCTAAAAGTATTATTTGTTATTAAAATAAAAAAAAAATCAACATAATTGTCTATGTTACGATATCACAGATTTATTAGAGTTTTATTAAATATTATAATATCGTTTTTAATATTAACCTTCTCATATCTTTCAACTGCTTCATCTGTCCGTGTCGCATCGCTCTCTCCGCTGACGACATTGTTTCTGGTTCCATTGTCTCCATTAAATTATTGTCCTATAATATAATAAAATATATTATAATCTAATCTATATCTAACATTATAAATATAAAAGCTTTGTATTTTTGTATGTATTAAAATAACTCAAAAACTATTAGGGTATTTTCTTAAAATTATTTTACCATTAAAAAGCTATGTTATCAGTGAGTGACATAGGTTATTTGTTAATTTCACGCCGACAAAGTCGCGGGCAATTCATACTAATATTATTAATGCGAGTTTAGATGGTTAGAGTTTGTAACAAAAAACTGCTGAACGGATCTGGATGAAATTTGGCATAGATGTAGAGCATAGTCTGGAAGAACACATAAGCCATTTACTTTTGTTTTTTATATCCACACGGACGGAGCCGCGGGCTAAAGCTAGTGTAAGTTTAAAATATGAAAAATATTGTCATCTCTATTTCTTTGATAAAACAGAGATATAATTAATAATATTCACCTGTAATAAACCTCGCAATTGCGCAGCTAACTTAGTAAGTTCATAAAATCGTTGCTCTTCAA